TCTTCAAATGATAAATCATGCTCCAACATCAATGAGACCAGGGCATCGGCCTGGAATCGGCAACGACCCAGCCGTGGTCCCCAGGACCTGAGGAAGGCCAGGAGACCTGACGATCACATTCCTATCAGCCTGGGGAGACACGCTGGGATTCCCTGCTGAGGAGGCCCTGAAATTCCCATTGAAAACGTGAGGGACATGGCTAGGCACAGGGTCCTCCCTGCAATCCAGGCTGTGTGGGAAGTGGGGACTGGAGGATCATGGTTCGAATCCAGCCAGGGAAAACATTACCCAGGCTATATCTCAGTCAAGGAGCTGGGGGTGACAGCCCAAGTCCGCAGGGCCCCCAGCTACACCAGAGCTATGGACACAGCGTTTGAGCCCCGAGCCCAGCCTCAGTCAACACCAAGGCTCTGCCCGAATAACAGCTGACAGCAAAATGAGAGGCATCGCCAGTCACGGCACGATGGCCCAATGAGCAAAGGCCTGAGTTCTAACCCAGTACTTCCAAATCCTGTGAGGAGAAGCCAGACCACCACCCCTGGAGCTAGCAAACCTTCCCTTTCTCCCATTCCCGCCTGTGGATATCCAGCTCACGACTGGACAATGGGGTAGTGTCAGTGGACTCATTTTCCTGCCCAGAGACTCTCCTCCGTGTGTGTTCTTTTCTAGGTCAGCCAGAAATGGAGGTTGTAAGGTGTGGACTGAACCCCAGGTCAGGTGGGGACCTGGGGTCAGGTGTTGCTCAGGCCGGGGCTTCTGCAGACCTGGGGAACGTGCCGGTGCCACGTCTCAGCCTGCGTGCATCAACCCTCTCCTGCTGCCTCTCAGCAGGCCTCCTGTGGGAATGGAGGTGGACGTCGGGTCTGGAAGGAGGCTGACCAGGGGTTGAGGGAGAGGAATGCAGAGCTCAGCCTTGTCTACTCTGTCCACATGGTTTCACCTCCACCGACCACGGCTCTGGAGAAACGTAAACATGGGAAGGTTGGTTGTGCTGTGAGGCCTGGGACCAAGGGCAGGTGTCCGTGAGTCCTGGCTTAGTGCACTCTCCAGGACTGAGGGCAGGTGTCCGTGAGTCCTGGCGTTGTGCACTGTCCAGGCACTGGTGCTCACCCTGAACCTTGTGCTGAGCAGAGCTGCCTCCCGAGGCCTCTGCCCCTTGTTCTGGCCCCTGTGGTCATGCTCCTCACCCTCCTTTCACACTCCCCTCCCTGAGATAAAGACAAATCTCGCCCTATTCCCTCACCACACCATTACCAGGAAGGAACAAGGCTCATTTCTTGAGGAGGGATTTTGTCTGAACTCCATGGGCTTAGGAAAGGCGTCTCCCACCTGTGAAGGTTTCATCCTGTGGAATCATTTGGACAGTACACAAACCCTTCTCACCAGGAGACAGCACCCTCCAGGTACCTGCTGTGCGTGTGTGGAGCAGGAGGGGTGCAGTGCTCTGCTGGCCTGGGATCCTGGTGCCTGTGTGTGCCGCAGCCATGGTGACTGTGGACACTGCAGTAAAGACACCAAGCTGTGGAATTCAGATTTTGGCCTCCAGGATGGCAAAGCCTTCCTCCAGCTCAACACTGAGTTGTTACATACCACACCACATTTCCATACAACAGTTTACCCAGCATAGGAGTCCCCGCACAGACACTAGCAGTGTGAATACCACCACCATGGGTACAGATTCTTCCTGTTGATTTCCTCTCCATTCTCCTATAAGCTCCTCCAGCTTCTAGAGAAAACTTCCTTATTTGCCCCAGGGTTAATGGTGTCAATCTGGTTCTCCCTGAGCCCATAGATTTCCTCATCCTCCTGAAGATCCCTGCACAGCCTCCTGGATGTTGGGTGATTGTCTGTTCATTTCTGGGCTTTAATTTCCGGGCTGGTACGCAGACGTCCACTGAGCCTTTGGACGCACCAGCAAACCCACCGCCCCGTACTTTGACAGTTCCAGGCTTCCAGGCATTATCAGTGTCATCCTTCCACCATATCAGCTGACATGAAGATTGCATTGTGTGGGTCTTTCCAATGTTTATCTGCTACTGAAGTATTGCACACAGAAATGGAATTTCAATATTAAGGGCATGTAATGCCATTGCTATGTCGTGAGAGCCCCCGAAACTCAAGCTCTGAGACCCAAAAGGATAGGGAGGATGCATTGCCACCTCCTACATGAACCCTCAGAGCACTGAGACTTTCCTGAAAAGGTCACTCAGTCCTGACTTGATGGGAATGCAGATTTCTATGCTGGTGTAGGCTAATTTCACATCAGGCTTTCTGGCACCTTGGCTAGAGAAGACTCAATTACTGCTTTCTTTGGCTTCTTAAGATAAAGAAGTCATTATCACTGGAGTGTGATTATACCACTTGGTTGGTTCTTGTGACTTTAGGGACATTGTGACCTCACTCTCTGAGGTACGCCCTGCACCCTACTCAATAAATACCTTGTAAAATGGCCCCAGGACACCGGAAGCTGGTAGAAGGCTTCAGGCCTCAGGCACCCCAGACCTGATTCCAGACCTGTGTCCATTACTGTCCTGTCCCTAGTCACTGCATATTGCAACATGTGTGGACATAAATGACTACTCTGGACTGAACCTTCCAGAACCCAGACAAAACACCATTAAGAATTGATAAGTCCTTGAGGATATAACTGTGTTTAACAGGATCTAAACAGTATACAACAGGTACATGCACTAAACCTGACAGGCTGCCCACTCTGTTTAGTGTCAGTTCAAATAACAGATCAGGAAGAGCATCGGGAAAGTTAAGGCTCACCTTGTGGAGGGGCTGCTGGTGTCTAGGCCCTGCTCAGGAGAGGGCTCAGCCCACATGCTCCGGATGACCGAGCCCCTGTGAGAGTCGGGTTCTGGAAGGAGGGAGGGAGGGCGATGGTGCCCTGCTCTTGCTGAGATGGTGACGTTTGGTGTCCTTCTCACCACTTTGCTAAAAGTTCTCAAGGTCGGAAAGTTTTGTAATTTTTTCTACTTCCTTGACATAACATTGACAATTAAAACGATGCACATTCACACTTAGAGTGCAACGTGACAATGCACACAAATGCTGTGGAACGGTTGTCAACCCAGAGCTAAGGATCGTACACCACGCACAGGTTCCATTCTTTGACAGTGAGGTTGCTTGTGGTCTGCTGACTTACATGTTTTCACAAATACAGATCACACAGGTGTCAAAATCCCTCCTTTGTCTTTCTGTGCTGCATTACCACACTTCCCGTGAACTCCCCAGAGTCATCTATGTTGTCACAAATGCCAGGACTTCCTCCCTTCCATGGATGAACAATCTCCTGTTTTGCAAAGACACCACATTTCCTTTCTCCATTCCTTCTCTCATGGACACCTGGGTTAATCTCCTGGCTTGCTGATGTAAACAATGCCACAGCAACTGAAGATAAGAAGGAAATGTGCCACTGGACATTACTGGAGTTTGGAATCGATGGCATTTCTGTGTTTTTGTGCTCATGGACCGTGGTATAATTTCCAGTCACGTTCTTATTTACATTCTCACTGTCAGCCTGCCTGCTTTACATGACCCAGCTTGGCCCCGAACACTTGGTATCTCTCATGTGTTTATAAGCATTTTTATTGTGCACTTTTGCACAAACAGGGCCCTTGCCCTCTCCCTCTGCTTTCTCACTCAAGGCTGGTTCTCTACCATTTGAGTCATGCCTCAATTTCCTTTTCTCTTTTGGATCCATGACTGGGATTCAAAGTCAGAACCTGATGTGTTCTCTCATTGAATAACGACCTAACAACTGAGCCACGCCACCAACACCAGGGTTGATGATTTCTTTTCGTTTCCTTCATTTCAGGTTTTTTGCTAGTTAACAAGTCCTCAGCCATGTGTCCCATGGTGGAGCTGGCAGTCCCTCTGTGAGCACACCTGATGGTACCTGCTGACGGCTCAGCTCTCTTCCGCAGCAGGAGAGCTGCACACAGGTCAGAGCTCAGTGCCACAGTTTCTCCACCCTGACTGCTACTCTGCCATGTCCTGGGTCCCCAGGAACTCCCTGTCACTTCTCCTTTCCTCTCATCCTCAGAATCTGCTCACCTTTTGTGTCAGTGGATTCTTGTTCATGGACAAAAGTGTTGTTCACGTTCAGCTCACCATCTTGTCCAGCACTAGGAATCACTGTAACCAATGACTTGGAAGACAGATGCAAGGAAACTGTCAAAGGGTTGATAAAACAATTTGAAGAAGACATGAGTCATTTGTCCATAATTACCAAATACCCATTTACCTATGAGCACATTGTTATGGATTGTGAATTATTGAGATTATTATTATTGACATTAACAACACACATGATATTCTTACAAATAAATGCACATAAACAGGATAAACAAACAAGAAAGCTAGACTTTGACAACTGATATACCAGAGCCCACTCACTGCCAAGCATATGCCTGAACCCTGGCTATCTTGGTTTGTGGTCCGATGAAGTAAAGTGCAGCAAAGCCCCACCTGATCTTCACTCAGGAAGGAGGCTCTGTGAGCTCACAGATGAGCACCATTCTCCTGGAACACAGCAGGGAACTGTGGGCCCTCCTTGACTGTGCAGGCCCAGACTCGGCATGGAGCTCATACCATGGGAGATGCTGCCAGCGTGGAAACACATTCACCACCGCTTTACACTCTTGCATGTGCACTAGGAGGTCTCAGGCGTGTTGCACTTTGTGTTTTGTGTGTGATCAGCAATGCTGACAGAACGATCACCAGGCAGAATGGCAGAGTGAGAGGACATGTGTGTCCCTCTGCACCCCAGACAGCTCTCAATGTTCTCACATTCTGCCTCAGGCTCCCAAGGAGCTGCAGGTACAGTGTGAGCCACAGCACAGGGTCAGTGAGACATGATGTCTCCAAGGTGGCCATTGTCACCAAACTCCTCCAGCACAGTCACCTCTGCTCTGGGAGCCCAATCTGTAGACTTCCCCCCAGAGCTGCTTTATAGCAGAGGACATGCAAATAGAATGTCCCTCTGCCCATGAAAACCAGCCCATCCCTGACCTGAGCTCTGTGAGCTGATTCCACCAGTGACTGAGCACAGACCACCACCATGGAGCTGGGGCTGTGCTGGGTTCTCCTTGTTGCTCTGTTGAAAGGTGATTTATGGGGAGCAAGTAATACTGAGTGTGCAAATGGACATGAGTGGGAGGGACAGTGGATGTGTGTGACCATTGCTGACCAGGATTCTCTGTGTTTGCAGGTGTGCAGTGTGAGGTGGAGCTGGTGGAGTCGAGGGGAGGCTTGGTGCAGCCTGGGGGGTCCCTGAGACTCTCCTGTGCTGCCTCTGGATTCACCTTCAGTAGCTATGGCATGAACTGGGTCCGCCAGGCTCCAGGGAAGGGGCTGGAGTGGCTCTCATACTTCTATGATAGTAGTAACACATACTACGCAGACTCCGTGAAGGGCCGGTTCACCCTCTCCAGAGACAACAGTCAAAGCACGCTGTACCTACAAATGAGCAGCCTGAGAACCGAGGACACGGCCCTGTATCTCTGTGCAGGGCACAGTGAGAGGAGCCAGTGGGGCCCAGACACACAGGTGCAGCAGCCTAGGCCAGCAGGCGCTGAGCCGCGTCAGCTGCAGGTGTGGTGAGGAGGCGGCCCTGGGGTCTGGCCTCCACCCTCCCAGGGCTCCAGGACCCCAGCTGGTGTCCGCCCTGCGCTGCTGCACGGACACAGAGGCTGGGCTCCTTCCATCTGAACGCCAGGCAGGGCCTGACAGAGCAGCGAGGCCCAGGCTCCGGCTCAGGCAGAGCTGGCTCCGCACAGGCCAGGGCGGGTCTGGAGCGCTCAGGGCTCCGGGTGCGTGCTCTCCCGCAGGCTCAGCACAGAGACTCCGGGCTTCCTGCTGAGCACAGACTGGGCCCGGCTGTGGGAGTGGTGACCGCAGACTCCGGAGCCCGCGCTGACAGGACCGGCCTCCGTCCTCCGCCCAGGCCGCGCTCACAGACCCGGGTGGGCCCGGTGCGCGCGCAGCAGGTCCCGGCTGACGTCACTCACCCGCGCTCCCCTCCCTTCACAAGTGCGCAGCTGCACTGGGCTGCGCGTGCGCCATGGGCTCCCCTTGCTCGGGCGTGTCTTCCCGCGGTCCCTGTGGCTGGTCGTCTGGAGGCGGTGGGCGGCCCCTGGCGGCGAGCACGGCCAGCGCGTCCTCCTTCTTGGTCACAGGACGCGGCTGTGCACGGGAAGGACGGGGAGGACGGCGGAGGGGCGATGGCGGGGAGCGCTGTCTTTCCATCCGTCCGCCAGTCCGCGCGACCACGAAGCCCGCGGCCTCGTCACGTGGTGTGGGCGGGTGTGCGCCTGCGCACGCTGCACGCTCCCCGCGCGGCTTCAGGCTTCCTCCCGCCCTCCCTGCACCGCGTCCCGCGAGCTCCGCTGACCAGGCGCATGCGCCCCTCAGGACACTTCTCTCTCCTAGGTCCGCTGCCGCCCTGTCCTGCTCAGCAAGGGCCGCTCCGCGTGCAAGGCGCAGGCGCAGTCTCCATGGTGCCTCCCACAGGAGGATGGGATTGGCGATGTGCGCATGCAGGGAACGCGCGGGCCCCGCCCCGTACCACGCTCACCTGTGTCCTTGTGTCCTGCTCAGCACAGCGGGACGGGTCTGCGCATGCTCTGTGGATGCAGAGGCGCTCAGCCCTGTCCACGTCAGCATGTGTATGTATCTATACACCTTAGAGTATTCACAAATGCATGTCCCTAGTGTGTGTGCACACGCGAGCACATATGTAGACATGCACATCCATGTGCACGCATTAATCTCATTGTATATTCATAAACAATTGCATCTAGATATAAACATGACGTCTGGATTCTGTGGGATCTAGATAATTCTAACTCAAATGAAACTTTTACCACTGGGATAGAAGGGGAAGGATACACACATATATATATTCACAGTGCACACACACATATATATTCACAGTGTACACACATATATATTCACAGTGTACACATATATTCACAGTGTACACACACATATATATTCACAGTGTACACACACACACACACTTCCATCACCGGCTGGAAGGGGCGGTCTCCATAACCCTCTGTGGTCCTTCACAGGTGAATTCATTCTCCCTCCTGAGGGGCTCTGGGGCTGTACAGCAAACACTCTACTCTGAGTGGAGGCTGTTGGCCTTGCTGCTGTGCCCAGCTCTCTTCAGACACTGGATACCCAGATGGACAGGACACTCTCAGCCTTGCTCTTGGGGCTCCGGACAGGGTGCTGACCTGTGTCCTGGACACAAGCTGATTTCCTCAATTGTTCTGTGGTGGAGTCTGGAACTGAACATGAGGCAGTCCTGCAATGGAGCCCCTGCACAGGTGAGGCCCAGCCTCCTTCCCCTAGGGGAGCCCTCCATGAGCAGCCTGGATGGAGCCCCAACAAACACAGGATACATAAGTATACAAAGCTGTGAAGATATGCACACATGTAGATGTGTGTAGTATAAATGTATTCCATGTATGTTTCATATGTGTATATATGTTGATCTCATGTGTACTCTATAACTTCACACATTTATATACATATACAAATCTAATTTGCTTTTATCTAGTTTTTCTGTATATGTACATGTTCATATTCAAATCTTCAATGCACAGTTATGTACACAAATGCAAAGATTTATCGACCTTGTTATGAGGGGAGTTTTCATATTCCCTGCACTGTCCATCACCTGGGAATACATCTAGAACCTGAAAGTTTGTTTCCTCTCATTCAGGTCCTGTGAACCTAAGTAGCCAGACAAGGTAGTATGGGCTCATCAAACACTTACTGCACAGGGAATATTCACCCGGGACCTCTTCACCTCCTCTTACACGTTCACTTCACATGGGACGTCTTCTCTTCCCTTGCGCATTCACTTCACACAGGACCTCTTTTCTTCCTTATGCATTCACATAAAGAGAATAACCCCCATGCAAATATCAAACCAGAATAATTCACAAACCATATTTGATTAAATTCAGTTCATCCTCATTGTAATATTTCTGCTTGTAGAGAAACTATTCTGCTACAATATGGAACATTGATCACACATTAAGTCCAATTCTTGTGAAATACCCACAAAATCGGTGCCATTTTTATTTAGCACAATGTACAGACCAGGTAGTGTTCATAACAAAATCCAGAGGCTAGATCAGAGAATTACACAGGTTCCTAGGCCTACCCATGCACAGACTTCCCCAGAACCTAGAGCCTGCTGTGGGGTCATACATGGAGTAGAGTACATGGACCTACATGGATGTACCATGTCCTCCTACCATCCCGGTGACCTTATCTGGGGTCATCACTGAATTGCAGTAAATGGAGTTACATGGGTGTACCAAGACCACACACAATCCTGTGACTTACCCAGGTCATGAATGGAGCAACAGCCATGTACCGCCATCTCACAGTCCCATCATGGTGCTGTGCTCTGCTACACTAGGAAAATCGGTGAAAATGATGGTCATGGAAACTTGCTGCACTTGAGAATCTCCATAATTTCCTGTCACGTGAACTCCCAAGTCTCCAAAGTGACTGGGTTGTGTGGGATCAGGTGGAATTCCTTCTTAGGAAAAATAAGACTGATGTCCAATAGTTAGAATGCCATCATTCTTAGAATATATTCTGGAGAACTTTGCATCCCTTGTATCAGTTCTATACTAGACAAGTAGTGCATTTTCTGCTTGTATTAAATACACGTTTTCATATGCCTCGAGTCAAAGAAGTCTAACGTCTTCCTTCCATTTCCTAAAGATGAGAAATGATAGAAAATTTAGAGTCATGAATTGAAGAGAGCTCTCCAATACAAGGTAAGGGCCTATCAACATGCCTGAGAGAACTGAGTTACACTTCCCAGAGGAGAAGCTCCAAATGGCCTGGCAGTGCCGGGCAGCCCACAGCACCTGCAGAGACCTACAGAGAGGTTCCAAGTATTTGACTTCCCTCAGCTGTGAAGCTGAGAAGACCTTCAAGATGAACGCCTTTCCTCTCCCTCCTGCCCAGGAAGGCAAATAAACCTTTTTCTGTGAAGTGACCCACCCAAGGGTGTAAACCACTATATTTCCTGAAAATAAAAAGCCTTGGTCTAACTGGAGTCAAAGGATAAACGGTTTATTCTATTTTATGTTACAAAAGAGAACAATCTCCTGCATTGAAATAGTTTTCTTAAGAATGTATTTGGAAAGATGGTGTCTTGAGGCTGGGGCATTGGGATCTAAGGAATGCCCCATGGGTGTCTTGTGGGTGGAACACTGCCCCAGCCCAGAATTGTGCCCTGTGTGCTTTGAGGAGACGCAGGTCCCAGCAGTCCTTGTGGAAGAGGGACTGGCTGTGCTGTCCTCTGACTCAAGGTCACACTGGCCTGTGACTGTGTCTTCCATCCCCTAGTAAACTTCCATCTGCCACATGGAGCTCACAGTCCCGTCAGGTGGGCTGAGGACTCGTGGACAGATAAGCTGTGGTCAGGAGGTCACACGCTGGGTGCTCTGTGCCGGTGGAGCTGCACAGGTGTACTTGTTGGACTTGGAGGGATTGTGGCTGCAGGTGCGGACAGATGTGGTTCTCCTTGTCCCTGTGTGCTGTCCAGGTGTGGTCAGTGTCAGGATCGGCCTGTGAACCCTTGAGGTCCCGTTGCTCACTGCTGGCCTCAAGCTCCATCAGGACCAGCGGTGCCTCTGGCATCGGCTTCACAAGGAGGGGATGCACTGGACAGGAGACACGGTGACACCAAAGTCACCTCCACAGACACATGTGCACCTGAGAGAGACAGCAGAGACCCATCCTCCACACCACAGAGCTCTGCTGTCCACCTGGGGAGGATGTGGACTTCAGATACCTGCAGGGCCACTGGCCAACAGAAGGGGGCGCTCAGGACACACTAAGCTGGGCAGGGCCTGCTATGCATGCTCAACGACCTGGGTGTGTCCTGTGCCAGTGAAACTTGTGTCCTGTTAACACTCACTCAGATAGGAGCCAGGGCCAGAGGATCTCATCTGTGACCCCAGCTGTGGGGAGCCTGCGATCTGAGCAATGCAGTTCCAAGCCAGCTTGGGAAGAAATCCCAGCACAGACGACTCACCCCAAGGCAGAGAGGAAGCTTCTGCTGAAGGGATAGAGCACCAGACGTGAGCACCAAAGCTCCAGGACAGCACCCAGGTCCTGGGGACAACCCAGCACTGTCCACAGAGAAAGAAATGGACAACAAATGCACTGTATGCATGAATTAGAATCATGGAACCATTAATGGGGGAAAAGAGAGGTCAGGTAGATACCAAAGGTGACTGTGATGAAGGCAAACTGTAGGAATATATGAAGATATTGCAACAAAACTTGTTATGTGATCACTACTCACTAGTAAACATTTATAACAGAGTCCCAAGCATGGCTCAAGGGCAGACATACTGCCTGGTGAAAAGTAGCTCCTCTGTTCAATTAGTCCAGGAAAACAGGATGTATTCCCACAGATTACTTTGCTTCTTTTTGGGTCAACTTCATTCTGAGGACACAGGACCTTTACCGGGAGCTCAGGTGAAGCTCAGGTTTGGAGTTCTGGTCTCTGAAAAGCAGACACAGCTTTCTCCCTCACTGTCCCCCAGCACGTGTGACCAGCCTCTGCTCCC